ATTGGCGATGGGATTCTTGGGCCCTGAGCAGACCATCGTCGAACAGCTGAATGTCGAAGTCGATGCGAGGAGCAACATCAAAGCGCCGATCGGCAAATACCGCACGTCAGTTTCCGGCGTCTATTCAGCCGGTGGTAAGTTGTAGGCTTTCAAGCCGTTTGTCATTTTTCGTGGATTGACAATTTCTGTTTATTTCTTTGAGTTCTTGTCCTCTATTTGTAAATATTGTCGTTCTTTCAGAATAACTGCCTCATGTTATTCAAATATAAATTTGGTCAAAATATTAAATTATGTATATATATTTCGTTTTATCTTTTGAAGTTCGTTTGATGCGTGCCAATGAAGTGAATGTTGTCTCCATTTTTTTAGCAAAAAGTTGCCTTATGTATGATGAATTTTTCAATTTTTTAATCAGACATTTCGGCTTCTGAGGTCGTAGCTATCATCACTATGTTACAAAAATTTTCGACTAGAATTACGGTAAAAATTCTATATAAAATTACAGAAAAAATTTCTAAACAAAGTGTGGTAAAGAACGCAATCGGAAAAATTCAAGCACGAAAAGAAACAAGTTAGAGGAGTGGTATCGAATTTGTTAAGGGAAATGAAAATGCAAAAACGTTTTTAGGCCGCGTCAGAAACCTGTCCAGATCAGATGTTCGCAGAAATCAGTTTGTTGAGTGAAATATGTGTAAATTCTTTGATATGAAGCCATAGCTTCTCTCTTTCGCAATTGGGGATCATCATTTCTATACATGCTATGTAATTTTGAAGTCCGTCGGATCACGAAAAGAGCCGTATTTGCAGCTGGAAGATGTAAAGTGATATACTTTAATAATCGGTCAAAAATGACAGATATTTTACTGTTTTGTGAGAGCGGAGTACAGAACTAAGTAGGGCACTACAGACCACTCCGCTTATTGCGATTTTGTCGTTAAGTGCGCCTATGTACGCACATAGTGACAAGCGTAACAAGCGGATGGGTTTTTTCTTAGGTTTAGAAGAGAAGGATATATCGATGGAATGCCATCTGTCACGTATTGTTATAAACTTAGACCCTATTATCCATATTGGCTAATTGCTTCAAAGGCCTTCAAGACCTTGGCAGCGGATAACATGACTAGACAAAGGGCGACCGCTGTCCGCAAGTCCATTCTCCACGTCCACATAGCGAAAAGGGGAATAACTGCTAAGGTAAGGATCGCCTATCAAGAGTGATGTATAGTCCGTCACGAATCTGAAGTGTATGCTATTCCTAAAGTTTTTCAAGGCAGTTCCCTAATTCTAAATGGGCACTAATTCCGAACGTGTATGAAAGGATGAGAAGCCACTGTTCGCTGAAGAAGTATATTTATGTTTTCCTCATGCCGACTACCTTCTGAATGAACATTGAGTCTTAGACGAACTCTGTCGAAGATCAAAGCGATGCTTCATTATATGACGTGATGGAGAAGAGATAGCATTCCTGGTGAATGAATCAGTACGTTCGATACCTGTTATGAAACGTTGCACAATCTTATGGATGACGTAAGCGTTGCTGTGCACTGAAATGACATTTGTCATGCATCACAGTTCCGAAATAGGATACGATGCCTTGTTCTTCAGCCACATTTTTTGCATGCATATTTGAAGAATAATTTATCTATCAACGAATTTTCAAATTTAATTCTCTTTCTCACTGACCCAGAAACGTTGCGTAAAATCCATTAAAATATTGACTGGTGCTGGTTTTTTGTTTTTATTTGATTTCTTATACCTAGATGTGATATATCTGTGCTACGTTTAGACTGTAGACGAGGTCAGTCGTTGGTCGTGTGGGCGATAAACGAGGGTCGCCAAGCTGCGCGATCGATTGACTTCGATCTGATGGGCAAAACTTCGTTGGCCGGACCTGGAGGAATGGTCGCAGCCGCTATAAATGGCAACGGAACACCCTGTTGTTAAACATTTGAATGACTGTTGTATGACAATTATGTGTATATGTTGGGCGATCGCTGTTGCTCGAATTTCCGTTACACTCAGTTCCAAAAGGCTTTATTCCATTATTCTCAAGCTTTTCTGTTTTCTTTTCATATTTCTGAGCAGTATATATCTGTTCACTCGTTTGATGTATTCTTTTTCTTTTCTGGAGACTTACCATTTTTGGTCAGTTTTTCGACTTCTCAAAATCTCTTCTCACTTCAGGTTGTTTTTTTTTCAAAAAGAATCTTCGAAATCTGTTTCCTGTATGTGTAGTGTTTTGGTTGCTGATAGAAATAAAAGAAAACTTTTAAATAGATCCAGTGAGGTAAAATGTATCAATTTGATTTTGTCGCTGAACAACTAAATCTGTTCATCTTCGTCAGTTTACATTTGCAAGATGATTGGACTTGCCTTAGTAAAACTCCGGGCCTGTGAAGACAAGCGGGAAGTTGTCGTTGAAACGTCTGACACTGAAAAGTTGGTCGAAAACTAAAGTTTTCGCATATGAAATGGCAGTGATGGAATGGGGTTGCTCATATTGATGTGGGCAAATGTGCGAACTTCTCACATCATTATGTTATGACTTGAAAATTTTGTCTGACAGTAACTAGAATAATATTATAATCATAAGAAAAATCGTAGGTTGTGAATCTGTCGAATGTCATCTCCGTTTTTATTAGTCAAACCTGTGCTGCTTTTATCAGTTTGAGAAAGTTGCAAACTTAACGCTACAAACGTTTTGATGTCTTACTGAATCGAATATGTATAAATCAGGCAATCTCATAATTTCCACTGTCTGCATGAACAAATAAGTCATTCTTCAACAGCAGGGGCATGACCAGAATTCTCCGGTTGCTTTCCATCATTGACATAATTGGTCATCGCAGAACTAGCATTTTTGACAATACGAGGTAGCTAGAATTCAGTGCCTAGAATGCCCTTACTACGATTGAAGACATTCACAGTAGCACCCTGAGGTCGTCTTCATAATCGCAGCATAAGCAAATCACTGGGGACGTAAGGAAATAGCTTGCTAATCTGAATTTTCGAAAAGTTTCACCGGTCTATTGACAGTCTACTACTTTAGCACATTCGGCCTAACTGTAGCTGCGCATGATTGATGATGATAATAGAAGATATGAAGATGCAATCCCCGAAACATAACTTTACCTTATTGCACACTCATGCAAGTCAGTGTTTTCAATATAGCTTCCAAATTCATTTCGGCACGGATTGCGTCGATTGCAATTATTCAATATGTTTTGAAACGGGACTCGGCAAATCAATGTTGACGAATGCGGGTTGAAGTTCCATGATTGCCTCCATACTTGATTTGCTACCTGAGTGAACATGCAAGATATTGTAGCAAAAAGACATTGTCTAACTCATCGTACTGTTGAATGAAATGAGAAAAGATATTAGAATCATGAAGATAAGTATTTTGATGCCAACGCACAAAGGGGGGGGGGTAGGTGGCACGTTGATTATCGGGAAATTAAACTGCTTCATACAATGAAGGTGTG